TTCTTGCCAATCTCGCGTCGTCTCAAAGGCAAATAGAATGGTATAATTTTTTTGATATCTTTGGTGGGTTTAAAATCACGCTAGAAAGGATATATCAATTTGGTTGATTTTAGCTTCCGAAACTCAAATTTTATAGCAAGGAGATTGATAACGAAATTGAGCGCTGTTGCAAATTTTAGACCTGAATTCTATATTATGGATTCATATAGCTAGAAGGGCTTCTGACTTATGATTGGGATCTTTCTGGATATTTTTTTTCGATTTTGACTCCAAGACTCCCAAATTTGCCCTACTTATATCACATTAATATAATTATATAATAATATTTCTCATATTACAATATATATTTATTAAAATTAAATTAAATTTTTTCTTAGCTCTAATCCCATTTTAATCCTAATTCAATATAATAAAAATATAAACTAACTTTATCCTTTCTAATCCTAATTCAATATAATAAAAAAAATTAATCTTATCCTAATTTTAATTTTAATTCTGAGTTAATCTTAATCCTAAAACTAATTATTTAGTATATTAAAAAAAATATAGTTAGGATTTTGATGGTCAGGATTATATCTAAAGACTATCAGGATTATAAACTATTAGGATTTTAAGTATATTAGAAATTTGAAGTCAGAATTCTGGATTATCAGAATTCTGAATATTAAGATATTTATAAGATCTCGTGATAATACAGATTCTGATGAGTATACAACTTTTTTATTGATAATTTAAGTATTGCAAAATAAATTATAAAAAATTGTAAAAATTGAAATTTTTATAGAATATTACAGTTTCTTAGAATTTTATATAATAAAATATTTTATATTTTATATTATATAAAAGCCCATTATTTTGGCAAATAAATATATAATTTTTTACATTTTTATTTTTTCTAGAAACTTTTTAATTAAAAAAAACTCAACTTTTTATTTTTTTTAATTTAGTAATCAAAAATATTTAAAAATTTTTCTTAATTAATACAGTTGTATAAATATTAAAAATGTAAAATTTTAATATATATCCCTTAGAATATAATATTACATATTAAAATTTCAAGTATCATATTATGTATATTTTTATGCAACTAATGAAAAATAGGAAGTCCACTACTTTTATTTAAATAGCATATTAATCATAAATAATTTACTTTCAATTTTCTCTAATTAATACAGCTATACGAAGGCTAGAAGTATAAAATTTTAAAATATTTTCTTTATAACCTACATTATTACATACTAAAATTTCAAGTATTGTTATATAATATGCAGGAAATGTGCTAGTGGCGCTAGTGTGTGGAATGTGCGGAATTCTAAAAAATTGTGCGTGCGCACACTTTAATTGATTACATCATACATCGATTATCCAATAAAAATGATTCCCATCCCTATCAGTGACACGCGATGCTTGCTTCTTTGCAATTATCACCTTTATCCTCTTTTTTTTTCTTTGTATGAACGATGACTACAACATTGAGATCAAGAACATATTTAAGTTTTGTATCACCTAACGTTGAAGGTGTTCATTCTTATTCCAAAAATATTGAAGGCGAATTAAACATTATCTAAGCTATCGCTTGAAAGAAGACGGACAGTCGTTTATGATGACTGGCAGAGTTCACTCAAGGCTCTTGTAAAGAGCGGTACTAAACAAAATCCAGGTAGTATGCATGGTTTCTATGCTGAACTACTAGAAATTGACGGCACCTTCGAAGGCACTGTTATCCTGGAAAACTGTAAGAAGATTTCCATGATCAGTATCTTGACCTACAGATCGCCGAAAAAACCAACAATTAGGTAAAACCCTATTTTCTTCCCAAGAGATATCAAAACATTTTCGAAAAGTAACAAGGGGAAAAAACGATCGTACGATGGCAAAGATAAAATAAGGTAAAGTAAAAAGCGTAATAGGGTTTAAACTAATTCGTGTTATTTATATGTTATCAATGCTAATTTTCTGACCATTTTATTTTGTTGTTTACTATATAGCATTAAAATAAACAAAAACCTATGGAGTACATACAAAGGGTGCTTTCGATCTCTCGCATACGACTACCCCATCTTTAGAGGAAGAAGATGTGTTCAATTGATGAAGATGTATCAGATGATGAAAAGGTTGAAATGCTGATTTGCAGAGGTTTATTGATTTGTTATCCACAATCTGCATAAAATTATTATTGAAAAATTCTTCACAGGTTAGCGATAGTATATTAGCAAAAAAAACTTGCAGAAGTCGGTAAAGGATTTTGCGAGGTATAATATCATATTCCTTCCTGAATGTAATAAAAATGATGATCTACGTGCGACATTCGATGAAGAGTGGCAAACTTTCGAAAATTTTTAATAAGGTCAGATTGATATTATATATGATTTGTGTACATGTCAATGAAAAAATCTTACACGCTTCATGTTTAGACAGAAGGAGTGATTACTTCGAAGATTTTTCCAATAAAGAAAGTTGAAAATATTCTTAATAAATACCGGGAAGCTTTGGTGAATGCAACAGATGGAGAATACATTGAAATTGATTCCGTATTTATTAATTATAATTATCAAGATGGATACAAATTTCGAAGACACTAGTTGGAGAACTGGGTGAATGATGTGTATCGGAAATTGTAAGTGCCTTTTATTTTACTATTTATTCTTTTTAATGCTGTTTATAGTTTTATTATTATTAATTGGTATTGGTAGTTTAATATATAACTCTTTTGGACACTGTTAGAAAAGCTTTCGTTAAAATCCTCAACTAACAACTTCAGGACATTTTTATCAAAAATAACGTTATCAAAGGTCTTAATTTTGCTGGATTACCTCACCAATCAACTCTCGAACCACTCCACATTGTTAACAACCTGACGTTTCCATCTTTTAAGACATATTCTAAATGATAAATCAAGTAGCGAATATCAATATCGACACTGGTTTGTGAATTTATTTTTTTCTGGACATTAATTCACTTATCCGGAACTTTATCCAGATTTTTGTGCAATTGCAAGAGCCAATCAGCATCGACTCAATTATTGAACGGGCGGACAACGGGACACCTCGTGTAATATGTGGCTAGTATGTGAAAGTCCTTCGCTTCGCTCCAGACTAACAAATATTTCCAATAGTGGTGAAGTTGGAAATATACATCGAAACAATCAAAAGAACTTATCGAAACTTCCTGAAGATAGGCGACAAATAGGTTGGTATCATGACGGGATCCTTACAGTTAACATTAATGGTGTCGAAGAATATATTGGTATTCTTGAGGTTGTAGGAAATGCTATTGTTGAAGATGTATTAGTGATGAGAAGCAACTCAAACACAATCTCGAGACGTTTGGAATCCTAGTCGATAGTAAGTAATAATTTGTTACATGCTTGTGGTTATTGAATTGTCCTTTTTAAACTTTTTTTTTTTAGGGCGAGATTTCATAATCTATGTGATGCATTATTATGAGGGAATATATCTAGTTGATGAAAGCGATTTATCATTCATAATTCCTGACACACCGATGCAATTATTGATAGTAACTTTATGGGTTATCGGAGATTACTTCACAGTTCACGGTAAGCAATGCATGATGGATATTTTGCCACGAAGTGGCAAATCCACCAATCAATGCATTGCTCATAGTAACTGTGGAGTTATCGGCAATTACCCGTGAAGTTATGTTATAATTTTCCAGTTCAGATAATTAAATTTTCGCTTTGCAAATTACTCCACGGCCAAAGTCTAATTATTATATGTGGCCATGTAATTATATCTGATAGAAAACGTTATAAAAAAAATTATTGGCATTTAGGGTTAGTAAGTTATTTGATAATTTGCACTATTATTTTAACAGACAAATCCTTAATTATGATCTCTCATAAGTAGGCCCGTGTAGAATATCTGAATACATGGATAAAAACACAATTAAGAGTTACGGCTTCTGCATCTCGACGTCGATAACAGCTGCTGTTGATTTATCTCCAAACACCCCAAAAGCCAACCAACATTTGGCACACATCAACAGGCATAAAAGTTCTGCTAAAAAATATATATAATATATTTTACGCGAAATTGTGAGGTTTAATGCGGATTGCCTTTTCTAATAATATATATATTATCGCAACCTATAAAGTCTTTTAATCAAACAAATTCTTTGTAACGTATAATTTTTAGAGATTAGTCACATTGTAACATATACGATTTTAACAATGTATATTGCTTAAACATAATTATTTTCCATGCTACCTTTGCAGATTTTGGTCATGTGCTCTAGAGAAGGTCTGTGCAACAGGCTAAAGCATATTAATTTTGCATATAATCGAAAGAAGTTGTGTAAAAAATAATATTAATTTAAAAAAATATTAATTTTTATAAAAGTAAATCAGAAGGGAATTTATAGTAAATAAGTAGGCAAATTTGCCTGCAAACCTTATCTTTTAATAATATAATTTTATTCATTACTTCTCTTTTTATCATAAATAACTCTATTATGCTAACTACATAAATAATAATAGCAAATTATCATACACTTCAGTAACTGATAAAGTAAAAGAAAAACAAAAGTAATTTAATTAGAAAACATTGAAAATGCTAAAGTTTTGTCTAGTATTACTAATGTGAAAGATCACTTCTACAATATTATTATTATACTAATATATTTTTATATAACAATTTCAGTCTCAAATATAAAAGCAATTATATAATTGAGAAACATAATATTATCAATTTGCTTTTCATTCAGTATATGAAATTAAAGTTAATACTTATTGCACAATATATAAAAAAGAATTATGTATAATTTATAAAAATTAAATCTAATTTACGTATATGCACAATTTTCAACTATGAATTTGTACAAAATTTTATTAATAAAAAATAAATCATTAAACCAAAATTTATTAGTAATTAAAATTTATTAACTTATAAATTACATCAAATACAAAAAGATGTTTAATTTAATATATTGTTAACGTGCAATCCTTGTGAATTATGACAGTTAGACAGGTATTTGAATGGTGATTCTTTTAAGTTTATGTAGTAACTCAACTTAGTTTAACTCAAGATTTATAATGTGTACTTTTAATAAGACTAAAAGCAAGTCAGCTCAATTGATTCAGGAATATAATAATATGTTTATTCACAATAAATGATAAAGAGATAAGAAAATAAAAAAGAATAAGAAAAAGTAAAGTGTTAAAGTACTAAATGCGAAGGTTAGGCTAAATGCCACTAATAAAATTACTAAAGTGTATCTAATGCAAAACTAAAAGGAAAACTAAAAGTAAACTAGAAGCGAATTAAAGTTTACATAATTTTATCATTCTCTATTTATATAAAATTAATTATATAAATAGATATAACAAATAAATCAAATATATCTAATATGTCTTATATGTCAAATATATCAAATATGTCCAGTATATATATTATGTCAGATATATCAAATATATCTAATATGTTTAACATTAGATCTACAATAAACTGCATCATGTTTATTAATCTAATCTAGTTATATTACTCTTCGCTTAAGATTTCTGCCTAGCAAAAAGATTCAAAGCTTCAAGTATCAAGGTTTGATATTCAGTGGTTTTTAGATGTCGAATCATTGTCAAAATAAGTGATTGGATATCAAAGATTCGTTAGACTTCAAGATTTTTAAATAAATAAAAGACTCATATAGCAGTTCGATAATAATGTGTAATAATAGTAGAAGCCTGTAAAGTACATTGAGTGAGAGTAAAGGTTTCATCTTCGAGAAGTTATCCTAAATAAAAGGAATTGACAAGTGATAAAAATTGATTATTTATACATGTTGATCATAAAAGAGCTCGACAAGTTAATTGTACTTTTTGTGACAAAGTCATATCAGCTTTATAAGGTTTCAAGTTTTGAGTGATCATAGTTGAGAGATTTATCATATATTTTAGTTATTCCAATACAGTTTCAAAATTATTTAGTATAGTCATTTTAAATTTTTCAAAATAGTTTCTTCAGGGTCACTATTAGGCCTATATTTATAAGAAACTCATTAACTAATGATAACTTGTGGTGTCTATTCAGATCTTTTCAAATATAGTTTTAAGAGATCAGCATTAGATTCTTTCTAACTCATCTATTTATAACGCGCAATTTGTATGTACCTAGTTGTATAACATCATGTATGTAGAATGGTCCATCAAATTTATCTTTAAATTTATCACCATATATGTGTAATTGTGATACATTAAACATTAACACCTTGTCATCAATTTGATAATTTATTCTAGGATGACTTTTATTGTAATGTTCCTGTTATTGTTTTTGACATTGCAAAATATTTCGTTGTGTATCAAGTCTCCTTTGTTCTAATTGAGCTAAAATTAATTGATGGTGTTTATTTACTGTTTGTGAAAGGTTACTCTTAGGCAAAGGATATTACAGTTGTAAATCGATAGGTAATATAGCCTTTCTTTTATATAATAATTTAAAGGGCTCTATTTGTTCATTTCTTGCTGTGTAGTTTGATAAGCAAACAGGGCTGAAGGTAGATACAAATTTCATTTACCTTTATGTTGCTCAGCATATTTTGCTAAAATATTATAGAGAGTTTGGTTGAATCACTCAGTTAATCCATTGGTCTAAGGGTAATATGGAAATGATAATCTATGTTTAGTTCTAACAATATGGATAAGAGCAGCAATTAATTCATTTTAGAAAGACGTAGCTCTATCTGTTAGGATTTTCTTTGGAGTACCATGTTGATAAATTATTTCACTATAAATGAATTATACAGTTATTTGAAAAGTACTATCACAGGTTGCAGCAGCTTTTACTCATTTGGTAAGATATTCAGTATATTCAGTAGCAATTATAATATATCTGTTTCTTTTGATAGTTCAAGGGAGTAGTCCTATATAATCTATTCTAACATGGTCAAATGGTTGTTTGACAGATATTGAATGTAACAGTTCCATTTGTTTAGGTCTCTCTTGTCGTTTGCAAATATTACAAGTTTTTATCCAATTATTGATTACTCAATATATATTTAGCCAGTAATATTTAGAGGCTATCTTATTGTAAGTTATATTGTGACCTAAATGTCCTTTAAGAGGTTCATTGTATACATTATAGATTAAGATTTTAACTTTAGTAGTTCTAATGACTAATAAAGGTTGGAAAGGTTGTTTTTAGTTTTTACAATAAAGTTGTTAATTCTTGATAAAATATTTGAAGGATTGTTTTCAAATTTTGAGTTATTGTGTAAGGGTAGTGTTTGGCAAGTAAGTTAGGGTATTGAGAAAATTATAAAGTTGGTTATAGGTTTTTAAATCCATTTTGGTTATTAGAGCTGTCAGTCACACTGCTGACACTTAAGCTTTCACTCTTTATTTTATGATTCTTAAGTTGTAATTAAATTGTAAGAAAGGGGAGTCAAGATAAAGCATCTGTGTTTAAATGTATTTTTCCTTTCCAGTATCTAATTTTATAGAGAAATTCTATAATTCTAATAATCCATCTCATAAATTTTCTGGATAGATCTAATTTATTAAACAACCATTGTAACGCTGCATGATCAGTTACTAACTCAAATGGTTGATAAAGTAAATATGACCTAAAATGTTCCATTTTTCAAATCGTTACAAGACATTCTAATTCAGTAAATGCATAATTCTGCTCAGCATTATTCAAATTTTGGCTAACATACACAATAACGTGTTCTCTATTTTGGTCATCTAATTGTGCTAGTACTGTTCCAAGTCCTATATAGGATCTATCAATAAATAATAAAAACTTTCGTTTGAAATCAAGGTATATTAAAATTAGTGCTATAATTAAACAACTTTTCAGATATTCGAACGCTTCTTGCTGAGATGAAGTTCATATGAAGAGGCTTTCTTTTCATAATAGTAAATGTAAAGAGGCAGCTTTAATAGAAAATTCCTGGATAAATTTACGATAATAAGAGGTCAGTCCCAAAAATCCTCTAAGTTCTGTGGTATTTTTAGGAATTGGAAAGTTCTTGATTTTATCAATTTTTGATGGGTTTGGTGAAATTCCTTATTGACTAACAATGTTTCTAAAAATGCAAGTTCCAGTTTACAAAACTTACATTTATCTTTGTCAAGTTTTAATCCTGCCTTCTTTAGTTTTCAAAAATGTGTTTCAAGTATTGTATATACTCTTCAAAGGTGAAAGAAAATATAATAATATCATCGAGATAGACTACTATAAATTGTTTAATTTCTTCTTTAAAAATCTTATTCATCAATCGCTGGAAAGTAGCAGATGCATTTGTGAGTCCAAATGGCATAACTTTAAATTCGTATAACTTTTGACTTATAATAAAAGCTGTTTTTGCTTGATCTTCAACTTCTATT